CTACTAACCTTGAGAACACGAAGACCAGCCTCTTCTTTTCCTCCCAACTGCAAATCAATCATCCACTCGACAGCAAGCTTTTGATCTTAAACATCACTCGCCAGCAGAAATCATCTCTTTATTGGGGATTCATGAACAAGTACTGTTTATTGGCTTAATAAAAGCTCAGATGCATAGAGCTGCAAACATCAGGCACCTCAGCACACACCAACACAAGGCACCCCTCTAGCTCAACCTTCTCTATGCTGCAGAGCATAAAGGAATTGAGATTTATTGCAGAGATACTCCAGTGGGTGTAAAGTCCTCACCATGCCATCATGTCCACTGTGCGTTTGCTGACTTTACAGCTCTCACACCACACTTACACCTCATTTACCTCGGGAACATGTCGCATACGCTTCAGACACTGAGAAATCCTCTTGGCTTCCTTCTCACCAGCGGATCAAACGTCTCAATGCAACACTGCACGAGAGGTTGTCCACGGCTCTAGAGCACACACGGCTTTATTTAAGTAACTGAGCAGCTTTAAGTCCCTGAGTTACACATCGCCTCCGTACACCATCTCCCCCAGAAGTCACCGCGTGCTTTCTGGTTCACCGATTAGCACCATTCATCTGTAAAAAGCACTCGGGGGTGATCTCCTGAGGCATGCCACCCTCCTGTGTCCAACATGAGTTCAAAGGCAAGTTTCACTAGTTCCACCTGTGAGTAGGTCATCGGGACAGAGGCAAACAGCCCTCAGGCACCCACATCTCTCTCCATCTCCCTTTGGAAATTTGTTGTTGCTGCTGCTGCTCGCGCTCAAAAGAAAAGTTCAGCACTTCAGACTAAGCAACTGGTTAGAAGCACCAAGCCACCGTGACAGAGTACCAAAAGGAGAGGTATCAAATGCAAATAACTCGTAAACGTTAATGACACAGCAGTAGATTCAATTAATGTGAGCGACCGCAGAGACGACTCGCAATGCAGAAACAGCCTTTCGTCACGAAGTCTTTATGGCTTGACAGAAAGAAAGTTAGATTTGTTTCTGAAACGGTTAGTGCAATTTTTTTATTTGAGAGGTCAGCTATCAGAAAAGTTAAACAGACGAATCCAGTACGACACCTCGGCTTCCAAGTTGCTTTTTTGAACCTGATCTGAAATATGGCACCAGACTCTTATCTAGAGTCAAGACATTTGTGATCTCAGAAATAAAACCACAGCTATTTTCCCCTGGGAGATGGTGGTGGTGGGTTAAGTTCCCTAAGGGATGATTCTTATTTCATATAAAACAGAGGAAGGAAAGCCCAGCAGCTTAACAGCATCAGGAAAGCAGCTACGTGCTTGGCTAGTACCTCTGCAATCCACACATACAGCTTCATCTAACACATAATTCATCTGGAAATGTGAACGAAGGAAGGAGAAGTAGGCAGCCTCATTGAAGAGATGGGTAATGCAGCATTTGAAAACAGTTCTTTTCTGGAAATTCAGATTCCTGCAAAGTAACCTTGGGGCTTTTACACAAGGAGTGGCTACAAACAGTGTACTTCCTTAGCACTGGCTGAATTTAGATCCTCCTCCTATTTCATGCAAAGCAAGAATGAATATCCAAGCATTTATCCAAAACAAAAATCAGGGTCACTTTCCTTGACAGTGGTAACGGTGTTTATGGAGAATTTTGAAGCGGCGTGCACCTGCATGGAATCACAAGTCAAGCTTCAAGACACTCACCATGTCTTCAACTTTTATCCGAGTTACCCATTCTCTGATTCAGGAGACACCACCAGGTGCTGGCACCACCATTTCCTTATTGCTTTTACAAGCTATATTTGTTCCAAGGACACCTAGTTCACCAGAGCATCTTCGCTCTTCCCCTTCATTTCTCTTCCAATACGAAGAAATCCCACTAACCCCAAGGGAAGTCAACGTACGCACGCACAGGACATAACAGACCTTTTAAGGCTCTAGGGCTGACCAACAGAAACAGAAAAATACATACACGTAACTGAAATTTTCTTCCGTTTAGCAAAGGGTGCTGGAGTTTTAACTGAGACTCTCGTCACCCTTACTCTTACATCCACCTTCTCCCCCTGCTCCCTTAATGTCTGGGAAGACTCACTGTGCTTCCCTAAGCAAAACAAGAAATGGATCACATCAAGTTTGCTCCACAGACCAAAAGGTTAAAAAAAAAAAACCAACCAACCAACCAGAAAAACCCCACCTACAACCAACAATAAAGGACAAACCAGTTCACAGTTAACCATAAATAAAAGTGCAATAAGTGTTCAAGTAAAGTGTAGAGTTTAAGCAAGCTGTACAACCACATTTGGCATAGTCATCTTTTAAAGGCTCTGCGTGGGTCCCTCCCGTTACTGACAGCAGGGAGGTGAGGCTGAACGCTATTAGCTGGTGCTGGATTTACAGGTCCTCGTCCACTGCCTCTCCCACTACCTGCATAAGTGTGGCCGTGATTATATGTAAAAGGAAATCCACTCGATTCAGGTCCAGTTTGTAAACCATTTCCTAAAAAGACAGAAAAAAGGTTATCGCAAGTTCCACGAGTTGAAACCACTGCCCCCTTACCTAAGGTTAGCAATGGGCAACATAGAGAGTTTACAACAGCCAGCAAACCCTGACCACCAGAAGGAAGAGTCCCTCTGGCATTGCAAGACCCCAAAGCACAACTTACCATTTCCCTCCCACCCCCAAACCTCCTTTCCACCCCTACCCCACACTCTCAGCTAAAGCAAGAAGGGTCAGGGAGTTGCACACCGATTCCTCGTCCAGGAGAGACTGGAGTCTCATGAAACTAGGCTGGTGCGTTCAGAAACACGCATCAGCTCGTAGGTCATCACGGTGAGACGTTCCGGAGAGACCGCAGAGCAGCAGAAGTCGAGAAGCCAGCAAAAAGAAAAGCAGGCTAAGCAAGGCTCCTCACGCCCTTTCCCCACTGCCCAGCAGGCTGAAATACAAAGCTGCTACAGAAATCACTCGGCTAACCCCACATTCTCATCAGCTTGAGCCTTGGAAGCATCGCTGCTTTTGTTCTGCTGGAAGGAAGAGCTGAGAAGGCAGAGCGATGACAGGAAGCACGGGCAGAGGAGGAAGAGACAAAAGGAAATCATCGCATTTCAAGACCACACAAGAAGCAAGAGGAGGCAAAAAAAAGCAGCCCAGAAGTTGCAGAAGATACGCACAAGCTCAGTGAAAACCTGCCCACCACCCAGAGCGGGGACACCAACTGGGCTGAAAGGCTGCTCGGGGCAAAGACTGGCCTGAAAAGCGCTGCCCTTCTTTGCTCAGAAGAGCTTATTTTCAAGGGAACGGAAAGGGCTCATAAGAGAAGCAAACGACGAGGAATTAAAGTCACGTTGCTAAAGAGGAAGCGGACAGTCACCAGACCGAAGCAACACAGAGCTTACGAACAGCACGTTACGGAACCGGTGCCCTGTCATCCCACCAGAGGGGTTAAGCTTCGCGATACAACACCAGGCACTGAGCCTAGGCATCACGTAAGCCAGGCCTTAACTATGCTTTCCTCTCAGCTTACACCCACACAAGTCCTGGATGCATCTTATTATTCTCTGATGTTTAAATAAATCAAGAAATGATCCAGCCAGGTCAAATACTGGAATTCAGACGACTACTGATTTTGTTTTGGGGAGTTTACCTGGCAGGAAAGTCACAGCGGCCAGCAAGATTGAAGTCAGTCATTTTTAAAGGCGAGGTCGCAGGCGGTTTAAGAAACAATTTAGAGTGCTGCCAAATCTCTTGGAAAGCATCAAAACAATTTAGGATTAAGCCAAGTCCCTCTGCATGATAGAGGCACCTTGAATATTCTGATCTCTTTGTCATCTAGTGAAGAAATCCTGAAACCATTTTCCAGTGCATGTGTGCTTGCAGGTTCAAGCCCTGGTCCGAAAGACTTAACGCACAGTACCCTTAGCAAGATAAATTTCTTTTTACTCCCATGAAGTGTTTCTCATCCTTTCACTTCCACAAGATGAAAAAAAAAAAACTTACCCAGTGGCCCAAAAGTACAAGAACCCATATTACTCGATGCAGAACTATTATTCTGTTCACCCTGTGCCTTTGGAGAAATGTAGAAAAGAAAAAAAATAAATACATGGATCAGAGAGAAATTCCACATTTTTACAGAAAGGGGCTGATTTATTTCTCCCTGTGTTCTTAGAGTGGCTCGGCATGAAATTTATCTGCTGCTCTAATTATCAGCTCATTGTTATCTGTACATTAACTTCAGGTCCCTTTTTCCAGAAGAGTCACGGCCTGATCACGGCCTGGCGTGACGTACTCAGAGCACAGAGCGCTTTATGCCACAAGCCTCAGACTAGTTTAACATACCAGTTTGTTTTGCCCGACGTGTTCCGAGTTGGGCTCACTGAAGTTTGGCACTTCTGAGTAGACCATGCAGAACCTGGGGAGAAACCAGGATTATGAGGAAGCTCTAAAGCTGTTTTTTAAGAAGAGTTCTCAACTCCACACCTCAACGAGCACCACGTTCTCGACATATCCCATCACCTAGAAGTACTTAATCCAGATCCCACTGTTCAGAGAGCATCTGCGAGCATTATCTTTGGTTTGCTTTATCACATCCTCCTGGTGAAGGTTTTTGAGCTGAGCAGAGGCAAGTACACATTCACTCTAGGGGTGAAATGGCACACAGAAAACAAGAGGTGATGAAAGGGCTCCCTTTGCCTCTCTTCCAGCTGCACAGTCTTCTCCAGCACCCACTCACGAGGTCACCTGAGGCAGCTTGGGGTGATTTAGGAGGAGCTCCCAGTAACTCCTGGGCGGTGACTCACCTGGCTCCAGCCCCACCAGGTGGCATTTCTGAGGGGATGGCTTCACACCAAAGAAAACCACCAGGTCATTCCCCTATAAAAATCCAGCTGAGCACCAGGCATTTTTCTGAACCACGTAAGAAAAGCGGCAGCCACCCCAGAAGCCCCACGTCCCCCATGACTACGAGTCCTCCCACCGCGCTTTGTGCGCCAGCAGAAGCACTCTTCTGCTTCCAAAGTGTTGCTGGTTTTCCTGTTGCTTCTCAAGCAGGTTACTCATGCTTGTTCTTACTCGGGAGGAGTCGCCGCCTCGGTCTGTGGGCAGGTTAATGAGGCTTGTTCCTGCTTGGGCATGATTCACTGGAGTTACCTTTGTCTTCCTCCTTTGCACTGCTTGTCTCTAAAGCACGACACGCACGAAGGCTTCCACCAAAATAAAGTGGTTTTTCAAGCCGAGGCCTAGGTAAGCAATGCAGATTTAAGTCCCTTGTCATTTTTGCCATTCCCCACCCCCAGATAAAACCCAGACCTGTGCCACAAAGGAGGACGGTTTTCCCTGCCACACCCAGAGAGGATCGGAGCTCATTACCACAACAGCAGGTAAAATCTCATGCCAGAGCTGCCTGTACTATCCACGACCAGTCAACAGGTTTTTGCTGCCTCGGCTTCCTTTTACTATTGTGATACTCACCGTGACACCGCGCTGAGAGCGGGATGTGACCCCGCGAGTACAAACGGGCAATACTTACTCCCCGATTTTATGCAGTTCGCCTCCTCGCCCCGTGTAAAGCGTCAGGCATCCTTTCCACAGAGACGCGTACCTGGCCCAAGACAGAAGCAAAGCAGTCTCTCTTAATGAACAAGAAATAACCTCTGCTGGAACATAAAGTGGTTGCACGCTCTCTTCCAAGAGTTAGAGAGTGCTGCACATCAGCATGAAGGGACTCAAAAAACAAGCTCTTGGGAATCCCAACTTTGCCACACTAACGTTTTATGGATCCCTGTGTTTTCCTTCTAGCAAAAGGTACTAGAAGTTCAGCTGACTCCTTTAACAATCCCAGGAAAGCGGCCAATTATTTTGAGATTGGATGCTCTTTTCCTTGACTGGAGCAGCCCTTATGACTGTTCCCGCAGAGGAAAGGCAGCTTGCCAAAAGCAGTATCTGTGTTACCGTTCCCTCACAACCCTCAGTCCTGCTTTCAGCTGGAGCCAGGAAGAATTACCTTTGTTCCCTGGAGAATACGGGTACTGCAACTGGATGCTTATTTTTTGACCCTTTTTTTTTTGTACAGGTCCCTACCATATTTTTCCTTTAAAGGCACAAGTTTGCCTATCGTGTTCCAAGTGACGTAGAGAAACGCAATCAAATTATTTTACTATCATAAAATTTGGTTACAAGCCAGCTCGAGTGCACTCCAGGCTTTGCGGTGGCACTCCACTTCAAGCACAGGAGTGCGAGTTATGCAAAACTTTCCCTGTAGTTGCTCCTTCCAGCGAGGGGCATCACGTGTACGCGAAGAAAATAACGAAGACAGAAACCAGAAACCCAGGTGCAGCGCAAGCAAGTTCACAGGGATCTGGGTGTCTTTTCGCAAAGGAATAAGGAGTCTCAGCAATCGCTCTCTCGAGCCACCACTTCCTTACGACCCAGGTCTATCTCTGGAACACAGATAACAAACCTTCCTCTTGCCCTTTGCCTTATCTGCGGAGACTGGGAGCTCTCACAGCACCTTGGAGGGAGGCAGCAGGGAGGAGGAAGGTCAGGAGAACTGAACCATAATGTGCCAACGCAATGATAACCTTCTCCACGCTTCAGGACGAGCAGTAAAGCGTGGTATCTGCAGTTACGGTGCCCATCTCAGGAGTTTTTTCATCCAGAAGCAGCACTAAGGCTCTTCACTTCCTAAAGATCACCACTATGCTTAACCTTTAACACCCAGCTAGCTGGGCAGTCTTGTGGCACAAAGGAAAAGAGCTACTAAGTAATAAACATAAGTCAAGCATACATTGGCTGGAATGCGACTGATGACCTCCTCTACAAAGTTATTCCATGTATGCAAGCATTTGGGTTTGCCCCAGCAAGAGCTGGCCATAAAGCAGCACTAAACTCCAGAAGTAACTTCAAATTCAGAAATATTAACCACAGCAGCTTCCTGTAAATGAATTAATGAGCCAGCGGCAGAAATCAGCAACAGAGATTCCTTTCGCAGAGGAATGCATCTACAGCTTGAAATTTTTTTTAAAAGGCATGTTTACATGTGGGGCCCAGATAAGCTTTTCTGCTTGTAACCCTGCACTTGAAAGTCAGATTTAGCTTCAGAGCTGAAATTTACCTGCCTTGCAATGGCAGCATTACACACTCAAATTAATCCTATTTAAATATAAAACTGCATTTGGAAAGCCTTGTGTGCCAGCGTGAGGGCATTTTCCTTAAAACCCGAATGTATTTAACATGTGCTGCCTCACCCACTGTGTGGTCCCAAGCGAGAACACGACTCACGTGAAACGAAAGCACAACTCGGCCGCCCACCACCAACAGCGACCCTGGCTCAAAATTTAATTGGCATGAGCCAAACTCACTTTTTGACACCAGGGGATGCCACGACCCTCCTGTGTGCTGCACTGAAACATCGGAGCAAGCCGGTCACCGAGTACAGTGACGGCTGAACAGCATCGCTATTAACACATTTCAATGTCATCCCAGCACAGGGCTTTGTGCTGGCCCCAGAGCTCTGGTTTAGTTCCACCCATCCCGGGGCTCCACGTGTTCTCCACGCAAGCAGGCTTGCCCAGAACCACCTCGGGCTGGAGGAGTCAGCCCCCGTCCTGTCAAAGGACATTTGCATAGCAGGAAGCAGCTGTAGTGTGGGTGGCAAGGGTCACCCGATTTCGCTCCAAAACCAAGAAATATGCTCCAATTAACAACTTAAAACAGCAGCTCTACTGAGTAACCTTTTGTGTACTCCTTTCCTAAAAAAAAAAAAACTAAAAGGACCTTACGTATGCTGGAGTTCCACCAGTTCCCCGGAGTGCTGCAGGTCAAAGGATCAGAACGGATTTCTAATGTAACCTAACTGGCATGGAAAACTCAAACTAAAGTGACCATCGGTTTGCTGATGACACCGAAAAGGATTTTTTCAAACTCAGATCTAGCATTCCTTCTCACAAACTTGGCTGTTGGGTTTTCCGGGTTGTTTTTTTTTTCAAATTAAACCAGCTCTGAGATAAATAAACTGTGTCTAACCAAACTAATGTGCCCTACAGAGTGGGCCTAGCATGAATTTCTAGGGGAAAACTGAAAAGCTTCTCCTCTGCCTGTCTTTTCTGTTAAACCCACTGCAACGAAAAGCAATGAGAAACACTAATCATCCCCTCCTTTCATTAAGGATCTGGCTGCTGGGGTAGAGAATTGTCTGTAAAAATACAAACACACTTTTGACAGACCAGGGCTGGCTTACATTCCCCGTCCTCACCTCAAACTAAGTATTCCATTTATTTTTTTATAAGCCAATTCTCTTAAGCACCACCTCCTTATTAAAAATACAAGCCCCTCCTTGCCACCCACTGGATCCCATGCCCACGCCGGGTGTGTTCCAGGGTGGAAAAGTTGTTTTGTTTTCAATCCGATTTGGGGGCAACGCCACGCCCCCCCCCCCTGCCTCTCCAACCCTGCACCTTCTGGGTGACAAAGGGGTTTGTCCCCCCTGACCTGGCTGGAGAGCGGGGTTTGGGGGGTACGTATAGAGCAGGGTTTGAGGGGTACGTATAGAGAGGGGTTTGGGGGGTACGTGTGCGGGTGGCCGGGGGTGCCCCGTGCCCATACGCACCC